AGAGAGAGAGAGAGAGAGAGAGAGAGAGAGAGAGAGAGAGAGAGAGAGAGAGAGAGAGAGAGAGAGAGAGAGAGAGAGAGGTAGCCAGGGGAAACGGGATACGGCTGGGACACTCTGGGCCCAGTTGGGAGCGTCTTCCAAGACCTGCTCTGCAATTTAGGAGTTATACTGTAGAAGTAGAAATAGATAGATAGAAGATACCCAGGCAAATTATGGACATACCCCCTACTGAGGTGTACACGGCAAATTGCAGTTATACCCAACTACCTGGTGGTCAAAATTGTCCTCATACCCAGGGCCATTTGGCTACAACAATCCACCAAAGAGCGTTGGACTCAATGCGTGAATCTGGACGTGTTTGCAGAAAATCGTGATTTCTGCATGTCCGCACTAAACGCATTCAGAAGCAGGCACTAGAATTCTTTAGTCTTAGAGAGGTGGGGCTTGACTCTGCGCAGGGTGAAGGGCTCTTTGGTTAACGTCGAACCCGACTTCACACTGCAAATATTTCCCGACTGCGATGTTCGAATACGCGTACGTAGTGGTCCTATGTGAAGGGCCATGACAAAATGCATCTGGCCGGAAGCTTGTGGGCATGCATGGACAGAAAGAGTCACAACTGGATTTGCCCACAACCGGCGGCTGTGGCCATCGTCCGTAGCTCGGCGAATACCTTGTGGCCATAATTTGAGCATTCCGCTAGTTGGTTATAACTTATAAGCGCAATTTGGTGGGTATGCAAAGACGATCGGTAGGTGCTGGGATTGGGTATAGCGGGTAGGTGCTGGGATTGGGTATAGCGGGTATTCCCATCGTTAAATGGAGTACACGTTGGGGTACAGAATACACAGATGCTATTTTTTTCGAAGATGCTTTTTCAGGCTTTCCACCGTTTCCAATGCTTCCAAAAAAAGAAGTTATGGCCTCTTCTTAAGTCCCTATCAGAGGGGGGCAATTATTGCTGGGGGTTGAAGAAACAGTTATGGGTGTCAGAGTGAACGAGAAAAAAAGGGATGAGGGGAGCAGCTATAAAAGGATGTGAGTTCTTATGGTGGGAGAAAGAAAGAAAGAAAAAGGATGTGCTGTAGAAAGAAACAGGATGTGCTGTGTGCTAACCATGGGCAACTACCTACCATAAGAGGGAGTGGGGATTGAATTGATTGCTCTTTTTTTTTTTTTTTTGGGGGGGGGGGGGGCGTAACTAGGGTGCAGTCATGATTTCAGTTTTAAATCTGGGTTCAGGCATCCCTTGAATACAACACATCCCCACCCGACCCTAAAGCTCGGTTGTATACATTCATGACTTTCCTCCATTTGACACAAAGTTACAGACATTTGCGAAATCGTGACTGAAAGTCTGAAACGCGTTTTCAAACTGAAACCGTGACAGCGCCCTAGTTTTGCTTTTTTTTTTTTTTTCCGTTTTCTTAACTAAGCTAATACATTCTTCGCTCCATTGTACCTCATTCTACCTACCTACCTATATCTGCCAGGTTGGAAAGAAGAAGAATCTCAAAAAAAAAAAAAAAATCGCTACCTACCTACCTATATATGCCAGGTCGGAAAGAAGAAGAATCTAAAAAAAAAAGAAANAAAAAAAAAAAAAAAAAAAAAAAAAAAAAAAAAAAAAAAAAAAAAAAAAAAAAAAAAAAAAAGAAGAAGAAGAGAGAGAGAATCTCTGTCTAAGTAGGACATCTCCACTAAGGTTGAACCTAGCCCTGGGCAAGGGATGGAAGGGATGAACTTCCGATGAAGGCAAAGTGCGTTCCAAGACCAACCAGGGGGGTGAGAGAACTATGGTAGCTCAACTGGTGAGCATGGAGCTCCCTGCAGGTGGCGGCGGGGAATTGAACCCACGACCTCCTGATTGCCACTTGCGCGCGCTACCAACTGAGCTAGGCCGCTGGCCCTTTCTTTTTTTTCCTGAATAGCAATTTTTGGGAATATTCAATATTCAGTTCTAAGGCATGTCCGCTTTTTGTTGTGCAGGTCCTAGTCTGACATTGGAAGCGTGCGTTGAAGAGATTTTTCGAAAGGAAGAGAATCTTGCTGCAAAGGAATCCCAGAACCTGCGATCCAGCGAACCTGGTCCATCGCGGGGAACGGATTCAGGACCAAGGCATCACCAGTTGCAGAGAAGACCAGGATGTGTGCCTATACTGGAGCGGGACCCCAATGAAAGTGATGGACTTCCCGATGAATCGAAAGCAGAGCCAGCTGGACAATCAGCTCCTGGACATGCACGTTCGTCGAATCTTTTAGCAACAGGTGATTGTCCAGCTGGCACTGCTCTCCGTTGTCCAGCTGGCACTGCTTTGAATGAACCTGGACGTCCATCAGCAGCAGCCAATTGTCCATCTAGCACTGCTTTCGATGAACCTAGACATCCATCATTTGCTGCTGATAGATGTCTAGGTTCATCGAAAGCAGTGCTAGATGGACAATTGGCTGCTGCTGATGGACGTCCAGGCTCATTGAAAGCAGTGCCAGCTGGACAACGGAGAGCAGTGCTAGCTGGACAATCAGTGGATGCTAATGGATGGCCAGATTCATCAGTTCCAGTTGGACAATCGAAAGCAGTGCCAGCTGGACAATCAAAAGCTGCTGCTGATAGACGGCCAGGTTCATTGAAAGCTGTGCCAACTGTACAATCAGCTGTGGCTGGTGGACGTCCAGGTTCATCGAAAGCAGTGCCAAGGCAATCGAAAGCAAGGCCAGCTGGACAATCAGTCGCTGCTTCTCGGCGTCCAGGTTCGTTCAAAGCAGTGCCAGCTGGACAACTGGCTGCGGCTGATGGACATCCAGGTTCATTGAAAGCAGTGCGAAGACAATCGAAAGCAATTCCAGCTGGACAATCAGCTGCTGCTGCTGGGCGTCCAGGTTCATTGAAAGCAGTGCCAGCTGCACAATCGGCTGCGGCTGATGGACGCCCAGGTTCATCGAAAGCAGTACCGAGACAATCGAAAGCAGTGCCAGCTGGACAATCAGCTGCTGGTGGTGCTGGACTGGGGGAAGGAGATGAGAGGAGCGGCCATCATGCTGATGTGGATGCGGGGCCACACAAGGAGGTTAGTAGTATTAGTCAGCTGTTTTTTTTTCTTTTCTTTTTTTTAAGTGTTAGTTTAGCTATTGTCATCCACCTTCCCCTTTTTTCTCTTGCTTTAAAAGTTGCACCACTTTGGTCATAATAGCATATCTTGCCCCAAACTGCACCACCCACGATTCATGAATGCGCACATGCTATCTCGCTGGTCAGATACAGTGACTAAGTGGTTGTGTTATGATTGCAAATGGAGAAAACAGTAGGATGAAGCTTTTCCTTTCTGAATTCACTGATTTTTTTCATTTATTTTTTTGTTCTGAATTCGAAATTCTGAACGAACTTGAGAACTTGAGACCACTTCACCCGCAACATCAATTCCATTAAGCCAAGCTCATTCAGTTTGTTCATTGTCGAGAGGACTCATTCCTCGACGGCATCCATGTACAGGCGTCTCACAAATTGTAGGTTCATTTCCTTCTGATGCTTCCCTTCGGGGCCCTCAGGCATCTTAAACCACTCGCTACTATTTCCCAAGGCTTAATTAAAATGTGGTGCACATTTGCTCTTCGACCGCTACCTCTAATTAACACGGGGTGCGCATTTGCTCTTTGACCGTTAGCTCTGATGCTTCACTTTTGACTACCAAGCTTGAAATACCACTCTTTTATCTAAGGGTGTCTAACTGCCAAAACAATTGGTTTGGTAGAACCTTGCATGGTGGGTAGTTTATCTGGGGCGGATGCCTTATCTGGGCCGCTTACACAGGCATCTCAAACTACAAATGTAACGAGTGGGGTTTGAGATGCCTGAAGGAGTATAACCACCGATCCTGGTCCGGTCGCCGAGCAGGTTACGACGTCCAGAATAGCACGAGTAGGTGGTACCCATCTTGGACACCAAGGGAGTATTGCGATAGTGTTGTGCATTATTAACATTAAATTGTAGCATCGCTGTCTTAAAAAGTCTCCTGTACTGTGATTTATACCAATTGCCTATGGACTGTACCCGGCCTACGTGCTGCTGGACCGCTTGTGGTGCCGATCGTGAGAACCGATGGGCCCAACAGACAGGTTGAGTGAAAATTACCTGGTGGTAATGATGGTTCCTAATCAGGTTTCCGGCGACCGTACCCAACCGACGAGTAGGTACTCCCAGTGGACAAGTCCTGAAATCCTATCCAAAAAAAAAAAAAAAATGCAGGGGAGTTCGTGGCATGCGAGACATCATTTGAGTGGGAAACGAAAAGGAATAGCTACAACTACCCTCTTTGATAGATTAAGATCATTAAGTACTTTTTTTTTTTTTTTTTTTTTTGACAGATTTAGTACTATTTGGGGGGTTAGCAGTTGTTGCCACATAGTACTACATCTTTCAAAGTTGGTTGAAGAGCAGGGGAAAAAAAAAAAAAGAGGAGCTGACGACCGTTCAACCTTCTTTTTTGTGTAAATGTAAAAAAAAAAAAAAAAAAAAGTCATAAAAAGAAGTTGGTATCCATTTGTGGTGCTGGTCTTCCTGATTAACATTGAATTTTCTAAACTCGCCATCCATGCGATTGATTGGGCTGAGGAGAGGGAAGAAAAATGAGGGAAAAGGGCAGGGTTTTCAATACATTATTGAAGGGGTGATTGTTGGTGTTTGCATCAGACTGGAGCCAAAGGAGTACCAAGGTGTAGTGATGGAAGACTAGCGTGGGATTTCGACGATTGTGGGTGTCTGCTATCAACAGACGATGATAGTGGAAATCAATCTCCAAGGTCGGGTGAGATGTTGTCGGAGGAACTCGAGTGCCATCGCCAGAAAGGTGCTGATTCCAATGCTGATAAGGTCTTCACAACGGACCGAAGTGAGATCTGCCAAGCACGTTCCCACAAGGGAGTTGGAGGCATTCAGATGGACACCGGAGATTCTTGCGCGTTGGGAAATCTGCGTCGTCGAAACTTGAGGCCAAAGCGCAGAAGACCAAAAACTTCCTCCTTGAGCGCAACCGCTCCTCCTGAAGTTGCACTATCAATTGATCCTGACCCTTCGAGAGGAAAACGACCATGTCTGGTGAGTGATGGTGAAGTTGAGGATGACGACGGTGATCTTGATGATGATGATGATGAGGAGGAGGAGGAGGAGGAGGAGGAGGAGGAGAGCAATGAGCTCGATGAAAAGGAGGAGGAGGATAGCGACGAGTTCGGTGATAACAAGGATAGCAATGAGTTTGATGATGATGATGATGATACTTTTGCGAAGTGGGAAACATGTCATTTTTATTTTGAAAATGTGAGCAAGGCCCCAAAAGGCACCTGGGAGGAGATTGCAACCTTCTTGCATGAGCATCCTTTCGAGAAAGTGAATAGCAATGCATACTGTGCAGCACGTCGTGAACGATGTTATGTACATAATCTTCCGATGGTGGGGCGTATTGAGCACAAGAGCCCGTACATGACAATAAAGGCTATCATGGAGGCGCAGGGACCGGGAATGAAGTTCTGGCCAGGATGGGACACACGGCAACAGTTTCGCTGTTTGGGAACAAAGAAATGTACCCTTAAGAAAGCTAAGCAGTTGAGTCGCGATTTGCTCAGGGCAAACGACGATAGTGGATTGCAAGATCTTCTTGCGAGAAACAACCTTGTCTGGATGAGACCCAAAACTTTGATCCCTTTGAGTCCCGAGCAAATGGAGCTTGTAATGGGGTATCCGGCGCTACACACCGCGAGCATGACACCCCTCAAACGGTATGCAGCCCTCGGGAACGCTTTTCAAGTTCACACCGTTGCGACTCATTTCTCGCCTCTCAAAGCCAAGTTTCCAGACGGAATCCGGGTGTTGTCGCTGTTCGATGGGATTGGTGGGTGCGCCCTTGCGCTAGACATGGCTGGTGTGTACATTAAGGTATACATAGCAGTAGAGATCGACGAGGATTGTCGGGACATTGTCCGAAACTGGTGGTCCGAACGCGAATGGCCAGAGAAACAACTCATTCAAGATTGGAGTGATGTAACGAAATTTAAGCGAAAAGCCATAGAAGATATCTTCAAGCGGTGTGGGGGCATTGACCTTGTTGTGGGAGGAAGCCCATGCGGAAACCTAACCGGGAGCAACCGACAGCCAAGCAATTCGCCAAATGGTCGTTGTGGTCTTCAGGGGTTGAAGTCCAAATTGTTCTATCATTTCCATCGCATCCTTGAGCGCGTCTCAACTATGCATTACAGAAGGGCATTGACAGACAGCAAAAAGCAGGTGACGCAGCTCCAAAGTGAGTTGATGCGGCTCAAAGGTTCCGGCTCTCGCTCAACTGAAGTGGCGTATGAAGTTCGAACGATGCCAGGAGGGTCAAAGGACTTGCATCGATAGATCGATGTAACTGGAGGTAACCATCCATTTGAGCAAGTCCTAGTATGGGAATGACTAGTATGTCAAGTCAGGCTATCTTTCCTATTATGATTCAATTTGTAGTAAGCGAGTGTGTGAATAGTCGAAGTGTATACTCACAGTGGGACTCTGCAGGATGCGATTAACTTTAATAAAGAATAATAATAACAATATAATAATAATAATAACAATAATAATAATAATATATATAATATATATAATATAATATATAATACTAATAATATAAAATCATGATCTCAATAGGAGAAGGAGGTGGTGGTGGTGGTGGACGGGATGACTTCATACCACACTCAACTGACGTAAGAACTGACATAATGGAGCTAGGAGCCTAAGACTATAATGCCCTACAATGTTGTTGTTGTTGTTGTTGTTGTTGTTGTTGTTTTTTCTTTCCAAGTAGGCCCTGATAGTTACAGCTCCATTCTAATCTCAAGACGAGGAGGTGATGGTGGTGGAAGGGATGACTTGATACCACCACCCTCAACTGACTTAAGAACTGAATCTACAACTGCCTCCGGAACAGACCTCACAATGGCAGTTTCCAAAAGCTGACACATGGATCCCCCAATTGGCATTTAGCAGAGTCTGCTGATGTTCATAGGGGAGGGGACCTGAGGGGAGGCACAGGGATTGGTCCTGTTGGCATGGTCCCTGATGCTACCGGCTGTCCCCTAGCCGGTATCGCCCACCTGCAGGTCGGGAGCAGCCCCCACATGTTCTCTCGTGAACACGGTTCTGGCTGCTACGGGGTTCCCCGTATGCCTACAATTAGGAGTAGTGGTAGGTAGGTAGTGTGAGGTGAAATTGAGAGAAGAAAAAAAAAAAAAAAAAAAAAAAAAAAAAAAAAAAAAAAAAACCAGAGCCTTATGGCTCTGGCTCCTTTTCCATTCTGGGGAGCAGCAGTCTGGTACCTATTCCACCTGGAGGACACTATTAACTTGATTCTAGTTGCGGATAAATTTTGCGTATGCCTTGAAAACTTTGTATAGTCCGCATCGCCCTCCTGACAAATGTTGTTTTGAAGTTCATTTTAAAGTTCACCTCTAAACTTGTAACTGCAGTTCTTGGGTCAGCTGCCACAACACCATTTGCAGGTCTGTTCCGGAGGCAGTTGTAGATTCAGTTCTTAAGTCAGTTGAGAGTGGTATCAAGTCATCCCTTCCACCACCACCACACTATCAAGTCATCCCTTCCACCACCACCACAACCACCTCCTCTTGAGGTCATAATGGCGCTAGGAGCCTAGGAGTGTAGGACTATAATGGCCTACGGTGTTTTTTTTTTTTTTTTTTTTTTTTTTTTTTTTTTTTTTTTTTTAGGCCCTTGTAGTTAGTTACAGCTCCATTCTAATCTCAATAGGAGGAGGTGGTGGTGGTGGTGGAAGGGATGACTTCATACCACACTCAACTGACTTAAGAACTGACATAATGGAGCTAGGAGCCTAAGACTATAATGCCCTACAGTGTTGTTGTTGTTGTTTTTGTTGTTTTTCCTTTCCAAGTAGGCCCTGATAGTTACAGCTCCATTCTAATCTCAAGACGAGGAGGTGATGGTGGTGGTGGTGGAAGGGATGACTTGATACCACCACCCTCAACTGACTTAAGAACTGAATCTACAACTGCCTTCGGAACAGACCTCACAATGGGAGTTTCCAAAAGCTGACACATGAACTGCATTTACAAGTTTAGAAGTGGACTTAAAAATGAACTTCAAAACAATATTTCTCAGAAGGGTCAGGCTGACCATATGAGGAAGGGCCGCGCTGAGCATATGAAGCTTTTGAAATTTTTGACGCTGATAACGAGGGATTATAATTAAGTCCGTTTCCAAATCCGATTCTGACGGCGCTTGTAAGTCAGTCACAGTCAGTTGCTTAGTACATTCTGAAGATATTTTTTTTTTTTAAATGGGATTCTGAAAATTTTGAAGTTGTCGTCGTCAGTAACTTTTGATAACACAGGTTATCAATCCAGTTTGTCCTTTTACTAAAGTTTTAAGTTATAATAATAACATAATAATAGTAGAAATTGTAAAATAATAATAATGATAATAATAAATATAATAATAATAATAATAAAAAGAATGGACTCACATGCCTTCAGTAAACTAAGGTTATAAAAAAAAGCACTTTGAAAGTTAACCGGAGTCTTGTTTTCCAAAGACAAGTGGTTTAGTGAAATCTCGTCTTCCGAAACTTCAAAGACGCAGGTTAAAAAGTCAAATGTAAATAGTAAATAGTAAATACATTATTAAGACCAGAGTGCGTCATAGTTACTGATCATTTTTTTTTTTTTTTTTTTTTTTTCTCAACTCCAAAAGTCAGTGCTGCTGTTAATTGTGAGGCCACTTCTGACGTCAGCGGTCAATTATAAGTTAGGCAAACCAGATCAGCCGCAGAGAATCCCCGGGGGCAAGTGGGACGTTACGAGTCTCTCCTGTAATTTTGGAGGCTGTTGTAAGCTGTCAGTCATTGGTGAAAAATAAACCAAACATCCGATGGACATTGCATGTCCAGCTGAAACGAATTTGGAAGCGTGGGTATTTCGTAATAGAACACTTTTGAATTTTTCGTACAGGACTTGTGCTTCAATTACGTCCACAGACGAGTCGAAAAAGTCCTAGGATATGGTGCTAGAGTAAGCAGCAATGATCAAGGAAGAGGCCGAGTAGCTGGGGGCGCAGCACTACCGGGAGCGCTGCGCCCCGGGGCCTAAGTGACGGAGAGCGAATACGAGTAGGCGAGGATTGGCGGAGGGCAGCGATGGTGCGTTGCGAGACTTTCTCTGAGGCGAGGCTGGAGGGGGACTGCCATGTGGGGAAAGGTGCGAGGTGATATGGTACGGTCATACCACGGCTTGGTGTGACAGTGTATGATGGGGAGGATGCTGGATGCCACGTGGCATGCGTGGGTTGTGGACAGTAGAGAGAGTGGGTGTATTAAAGATGAGTGTTCGAGGTTTCTCTTCTCCTACCTCTGCCTCTAGTTCTCCGTCTCCTGCTTCGTCTGATCCAACTGTTTGAGGATTATGGTGCATAGATCGAATTCTCTGTGAGGCTGCGTTGACGGGCTTGACGCTGTCACTCACAACCAATCGCCTTCAAGAAGGTCTAAGGAGGCGGCGGTGTCCTATGTATCTCTTCTGTTCAGTGCACCTTGCCAAGGGGCTGTACTAGCACTGGCTATGGGGAGGAGAAGGTGCTCCTCTCGCAGGAAGAGGGGGGGGATGAGTTTGGTCGGACTAGCGGTCTGGCAGTTGGATTAGGAGATGGCGGGAGTGGAGAGTCTCGCGCTGACCTGGAGGGTTGGAGATTTCATACAGTTCAAGACAACCTCACGACGTGATGGGAGCTCGGCGCGCAGCAGCTTCTCGAGGCTGTCATCCTGAGTATTGCTCAAATTCTCATAGTATCTTAGGGTGTCGAGTTCAATAGCGTTGTCTGATTTGGTTGTTTTTACTATAGTCTGCTTGTTTTTTATTACCTAATTGCTTTTTCCTTGTCGTTAATTCCAAACGTGATGACCTAATTTTCGTGCTACCTTGGAGTCTTTGATGAGCACATATTTCTGTAATAATTTGATTTGATTGATTAGTTTTTCTGTCTAGGGTTGATCTGTTTTTCTGATTAATAAGTTCTCGATTTACTGTCTGAGCGAGGTTTTCCTTTTTGGATTTTCAAATTTTATCAAATCTTATCTTCAGCCCCATCTTTTGAAATTGGTATGCTGATGACCTTAACTATGATCAGGATTATCCTTGATCTTAGACATTCGCGAGTCCAATATTGGACATCTTAGATGAATTTCTTGAATTTTTGTTCTTAATTGTTCCTTTCTAATAGGTTGCCGCAGACAGATTTCCTAATTGTGTTTCTAATTTCTATTTTTTAAGAGTATGTTTTTGCAATTTTCCTCTATTTGAATAAATCAACATCTGTAAATCCTATTTCTTAGTCTTGATTACTGTCGTCGTAAAAAAATTGAATCTGATTGTTTTTTTCGTTAATTAGGTTTTGGAGCTTGTCGGGATCTTGGTATGGTATATTTGTGTCTTGCTTTGTGAATCGGAGGGGTTCTCCTTTAGGGTTGGAGCCCCTCCCCGTGAAGGTTGCACAAGGGGGGGGGTGTTACCTTTGGAAGGGGGGAGGCGGTATTATGAGGGTTTGTCTTTTTCTGGGCCAGGTTGATTTAGGGTCAGATCAACACTGGCGGTTGGGGGGAGAGGACAAGGGGGTGGCTGCTTACAGCAGGGTGTGAGGATGAGAGGGCTGCCTTGCTTGGAGGGGGCAGAAGAAAGGGGGAACTTCAGCCTGGGAGGTATACTCTAGGGAGAATTGTATGCCTTTTAGAGGGTTGAAGTGGCCGTTTATAGGCTGTTCTGAACTGGGGCCGGGAGGAGAGGGGGTGCCTCCCGGTGGGGGCAGTGTAGTAACAGGGGGTTTGTTTTTTGTGGGAAGGAGTAACTCTGTTGGTCACACGGCGAGCTTATTATGTGGTGTGGAGTCCCGGGTGTATGTCAGAACCTGAATTTCCTATTTTGAAAATTTCTTTAACTTTTCAAAACTGACTTGGTAAGCAGGAAGAGTGGGGTTGGTTTCAGCAAGGTGGTGCCCGGTAGAGGAGGGATTGATGTCCGGGGTGGTAGGTCTATTAGAAGGGCGGGGTGGGGTGACAATGGTTGGTGCTGGAGCATGTGCTCCGTAACCAAGGGGGACATGAGACCATTGGAGCTATGCCGAGGGTGGAAGGCATAACCATCTTGTTCAACGTAGCTGACACCGGGGTAGTGGCCCTGTAACTTTGGGGGCTGTGCAGCTAAGGAAGGTGTCGAGGGAGGAAGACACTTCCTGTCCGTCAGAACTAGTTCGATCGGTACTGGGACTGTTGAGGTTGTCCTGTCACCCTAGTAAGGGGGGTATGAGATCTAGCGAGTTCTGGTACGAGGACTGAATGCCTGGGCATTAGTCTTCCCTCTGCGGTGCGGGGAAGGAGTTTGGATCGGGGGTGGTCTTCTGTACTAGGTCGGTAGGTA